CATGATGTATCAGAAACTTTTATCTTTGACAATATTTTTAGTGAAGTAGTAAAATTGACATTGTTACTATGGTTCACAGAGATGGATAAATAGCTATTACCTTGTTTTAAGGGTTATATATTCTGGGGGAATAATGTATATATTGCCTGTTTGCATAGCATGAGAAGAAATATACAACAACCCCATGAAACCAAGGGCAAGAAAATGCCACTATTGTAAGAATATTACATTTTGTAGTTTCAGTTGTAAAACTACTTTTATTTGATCCTTACAAAATACCTCTCCAATGCTTTTCTCCCAATGTGCTGTCCTCCCTGTGGTTTTCCCACAGGAATCCAGCTAGCCATTGTGGGAACAGAATAGTGCACTTAATGGAGCCTTGTTCACACTGAGTACTACATGCTTCTATACACCTAAAAGGTTTAACCTTTTGGCCTCTTTCTTTGAAGACAGACTTGGCTTCCCATTCATATATAAATAAAATGAAACTTAATCCAAGTAAAATAAAGGGAATACCATTAAAGGAATACAACACTTCTGTTTGGGATTATACCTCTCTCCAAAGTATTCCCCAAAATTTGCAATTCACATGTTCTTCTGGATTCTGCATTGAAAAGTGGCAGCAGAGACTACAAGGGCCTTCTCTCAATGTAAGTTTGGGCAACAATTACAACCTGTCTAAAACTGTGATATTATATTTGCATTCATTACAACTAGACTAAAGAGTAACATCTTCAAGTCATTATTGACTCCTGGTGATATAGTTTCTTGGCAGCAATATAAAAGTGGCTTATTCTTGACTTCCCATTCTAGCCTACAGCTCTGGTATTAGTATCCAAGTACTAATCATGTTTGACTCTGCTTAGCATCTGAGCCCAGACTAGACTATCCTGAGTCACATCCAGACTAGACTGTTGCAAACGAATTTTACTGACAATGCTTTTGTAGACAAATTTAGAAACTACAGCTGTTATAAAAATAGCATTTTATTTATTTAAAACATTTTTGCCCACTCTTTATCTGAAAAGAACCCCAGAATGGCTTACAAAGACCAATCATATAAAAGCTCCTTCTAATAAGGCTTATAATCTAAAATATATGATACATTTTTAAAAAAATGAGTGGGAATAGGCAATAGAAGATACAGCAAACTCAGAAAACTATTCTTGCAGTTTTTATACCAAGCATCTGGGAGAAACAGTTCAGATAACATGACAGTATGACAGCTGTTAGATTACAGCAGAGGAAGAATCAAAGGTAAATTGTTGTCTCACGAGAAATTATGGAATAGCCTAAGTTCACTTCTCTCCTTTTGCTCTGCAGTTTTTCAAGGATATATGTATTATACAAGCATTATGCCAGTCACACTAATTACCCTTACCCAATTATCTTTGTCCTTTATAATTTAAAAGTTTGGGATTGGCCCATATGAATGTCCACCTGCATCCAGTAGCAAACATTATAGATAACTTTTCCAGTGAATACTGTGATAATTAGAGATGTATAATTGGGTATCATCAGCAGACTGATGATATGTCACCCCATGGTGACAGATAAGCTCACCCAGCAGCCTCATGTAGATGTTAAATAGGAGAGGGAAGAGTACCGAACCCTGTGACACCCCACATAGTAGGGGCTGAGGGTAGGATCTCTTCTCCCAACTATCACTGACTGAAATTGGCCCCGGAGAAAGGAGATGAACCAGCACAACACCATGCTGCCCACCTCCAATCTGCTGAGCTGATCCAGAAGGATACCATGGTTAACATTATCGAAACCTGCAGAGAGGTCAAGTAGAACAAGGATGGATGCATAGACCCCATCCCGCCCTCGCCAGAGATCATCCAAAAGTGCAACCAGTGCTGTTTCAGTCCCATACCCAGGCCTGAATCCCAACTGAAAGGGGTCCAAATAATCCGCTTCATTCAAGGCCCTCCAAAGCTGCTGCGCAACCACCTTCTCAACCACCTTCCCCCAAAAGGGGAAGTTAGATACTAGATGAAAATTGTCCAGTATAGCGGGGTCCAGCGATGGCCTCTTGAGGAGGGGGCAAACCAAAGCCTCCTTTAAGAGGTAAAGGAACCCCTTCACTCAAGAAAGCATTAACCATCACTAGAACTCATTCCCACAACACATCTTGGGCCACTTTAACCAGCCAGGAAGGGCATGGATCTAAAGAGTGGGTGGCTGAGCTCACAGCCCTAAAGACCCTGTCTACTTCCTCAGGTCCAACAGGTCCAAACCATTCCCAGATGACAGGGCAAGGCTCCTCCCTAGGCATCTCCACCAGACCTGCAGCAAAGCTAGCATCCAACTGTAAACAAATCTGTTGGATTCTGTCCAACAGATGCTGAGCAAATCCCTCCGCATGCCCCTGCAAGAGGTTCTCCAACTTCCCACCTTACCCAAGATGGTTCGTCACCTGAAAGAGGGCTGTGGGACGGCTATCTGTGGACGCAGTAAGAGTGGAGGAGTAATGACGCTTTGCTGTCCTTACCGCCAATAGATAGGCCTTAATAGCAGCTCTGACCTGTGGTCAATCAAGTTCTTCCCTCACTGAGCACCAGTGACATTCTAGACATCTGTTCTCTCACTTTACCTCCCTCAACTTTTCCATAAACCATGGGGAGTGCTGGGATCCCCAAGAGGGGAGAGGTTACATGGGCATGATCCAATCTGAAGCCTCAGCTGCCCTCTTATTACAAGCAGTGACCAGGGCTTCGGATGGACCGTGCAGCAGACTAGCAGGAACAACCCTCAGCTCCCTCTGGAACCCATCCAGGTCCATTAGTTACCCATCACTGAGGGTGGACCAATCTCATGAGTCCAGCCTCCCTGCAGTAGATACTGGTGCTGGAGAATCCCATGGTAATCAGGGCATGATCTGACCATGACAAGGGGGACACTGAAAGCTGCTCCAATTTCAGATCACATAGCCACTGCTCCGACAGGAACACCAGATCCAGTGTATGGCCACTGTCTTGTGTTAGGCTCTGGATGATCTGGGATAGGCCCATGGCCATCATGGAAGCCATGAACTCCTGAGCCACCTTAGACCACCCTCTTAGAGAAGGCAGATTGAAGTCCCCCAAAACAGTAAGTCTGGGGAACTCAACTGCCAGCCCAGAAATGGAGCCAAGGAGCTCAGGCAGCGAAACTGCTATGCAGCACGGAGGCTGGTACAAAAGCAGTAATCCCAAGTGATCCCTAGAGCCCAACTTACTGAACAGGCTCTCACAGTTGGTGACCTGTGGTGTAGCACCCCTGAAGGCCATAAGGGATTCCTGGATGACAATTGCCACACCTCCACCCCTGACATGGGATCTCAGCTGATGCCACACCCGAAACCCAACTGGACAACTCCAAAAGGCAATCCTCCCCCTTCTGGATCCAGCCTTGTCTCAGTGATACAGGCCAGGTTGGCCCTCTCATCAAGGATTAAATCACTGATGAGGGCAGCCTTATTACAGACTGACCTGGCATTAAGAAGCAGCAGCTGAAACCCAATGCCTCTGAAGGTTTGCTGACAGGGTACCAGGGCTCCCATTCACTCTCCATCAATTCCTCCTCTGACTCTCACCCAGAGGAAGGAACCCACACATTCATACACTCTCACACCCCACTAATCTCCAAGGCACACCCACCCTGCTGTTCCCACCAGCTGGTGGAGGCTCCCATCCCATTCACATCCCCCCCCCCCACCTGGCTCTCACCCAGAGGAAGGGAAAAAAGGAAGGAATCAATACACAGTTTACAGCAGGAAACCCACAGTCCAAATCTCAGGCACTTCACAATTAAATAGGAGCCGCAACCCATTTTCCTCTCAGGGCTACAGGAGAGAAGGCAGAAAGGCCTCTGCGGGGGGGGGGGGGGGGGGGCCAAGAATAGTGGGCCACGTAATAACACCCCCCGCCCCTCCCCGCCACTTCTTGCACCTCCCAATTCCCAGAGTCCAGCAACGAGGCAGTTGGTAAAAAGATGGTTAAGAAAGAGGGCTGTCTCCCCGACACTGCTGCATTCCTAAAATGCGATGCTGAAGGCAAACAGATAGAAACAGCCCAAGTGGTCCTCCAGAGCAGCCTGAACAGATCTTTCGAACAGTAGTCCGCAAAAGCAGCCAAGCCCGACCAGAAAATGTCAAGCCAGTCCAAAACGCCACCGCCAAATTAAAAAAAAGCTGCCAAGTTCACAAACGTGGCAAACACAGCCAGGGCGGCAAACACAGTTGGGGCGGTAGGCAAGACAGCAAGCACTGCCATCCTCCAACACAGTCCTCCAGCCAAAACAGTCTAAATTGGCCCGAGCAGTCCAGCAGTCCAGCTTCCATTCAGGTGAGCACCTGTCCAGACACATCCCTCCAACCAGAAACAGCAGAGCACATACAAAATCACAAGAACAGAGGTTCTGTAGCTTCCACTCTCTCCACCATTATTGCTGTAGTTTGTGGCATTATTTTTAGTAGCAGAATTATATTCTAAAGGCTTTTTAAAAAGTTGTTAACTTGTAAAGTTCTTTGGGATTTTTTTACTATAAAGTTGCACTATTTGGTTCTATTGTTTATACATACGTCATCTCTTGACAAGATTTTGCCCTAAAAGGATGGGCCAAAAATACTTGAAATAAACAACATATCCAGAATATAGTTACTGTGTTGCATTATACTGCAAAACTAATGTAGGTTTACATGGTGGAAAAACTACTGCAGGAAGCAGATTACTGAGGAGGGTGGAGTCCTTGGAGAAAGTTCAACAGCCCTGTACACAACACTATCCAAGTAACTACACACACTTTTTTTTACTATGGTGAAGATTGAACATGTAAAGCTCTATCACCTTTAGTTTGGCCCTGACTGATGCTTCAGAGTTACTAAAGTCTGCCACCTTTTGATATCATATCACATTGATTTTCGGAATGTGTAGCCAGTTGGCATTACTCAAATACTATTTAAAGCTCAAAATATGTTGTTACAAGCAAAAAGGTTTTTTAAAAAAGTTACTCACTAAGCTGCAGAGTCATTCAGCTGATACTCCCGGGAACGATTAAAGCAGGCCTGGACTCCATTGTCTGCCCACAGCCTCCGAATCACATTGGATAAATCCTCTGGCATGATTCCCTGCTCCTCTGCAGTGCAAGAGAGTGCAAACAACTGGCGAGCATCATCCTGCAGGGAAAGTAAAATTGAGACATTTAGAGCCATGTATCAGCTATTTTGGGGGGGGGGGGTCCAACTGTGTCACATTACACTGAAGTTCACATTTTGTTTTTATCCTCTGCAAACTCACAAAAAAATTCTTTCCAGAGGGAAGAATATTTTGCAAAACAAATAAAACACCCCCTAGCTGCAAAGCAGATGCCATTTCAAAATGCTTATCGTGAAGAAGTCAGTGCATAATAACTCTATAGGTAGCAGTTGGCAGTGCCTGCCTAATCTTGTTTGGATCCTGAAACTGAACAGGGCCAGTCCTGATTAGTATTTGGATTAGGGACCACCAGGGAATATGAGTGTTACAGAAAGAATTTCAGTGATATGACATCTGACAAATAGTTCAATCAGATTTAACTGTGTGAAAAATTTTATATACAAAGAGACAAAAGCCAATGTAGACGTTTTTGTACAGAATTGGTCTGATAGAGCCTGATTCCACATTGACATAATGACAAATGGAAAGCCTTCTTGGCAAATAGAACTCTCTAAGGAGGGGGGCCAGTTTAGATTCATCTGGTGACCCTTCCATCAAGTACAGAAAGACATTCTGATTCAGACAAATGTTAGACTTTTAAACTATGTTTTAATCTAGAAGGTGTTCTTTTTCATAACATGCAATTTTTAATTAATGAGATTTAATGTTTCAATTATAACTCTATTTTTATTTTTGATACTCTGAGTACTATTTTAGTGGAAAAGTGAAACAAATCTAATAAAAAAATATGTGGTTAAAAGGATTGAAATTTACATTATGTTGTAGTCTTAAAGAGAATTTTTATAACATGATGTGCTTCTCTTTAAGACTACAACATAATGTAAATTTCAATCCTTTTAACCACATATTTTCCCATTTTCCCAAATTATATAATTTCTATATTATAACCAAAATTTTAGCCAATTTTATCATACATTATTTCACTTCTTCTTCTGTTCAAATTTTAACAAAAGTTCATACATTTTGGCAATAACATGTTCATCATTTGTACATAATTCTGTTTCAAACTCAGTCTTA